GAGCACACAGAATGATCACTAGAGGACGCCTCCTGCATTTCAACTGGGGGAAGAAGGGAAGAATACTAACATGTAACTGTGGGCTCAATTAACATTTCAGTGTAAAGAAATTAAGACGATTTTTCTCTCTAACACTATTTTCCATGCAAGACAGGACATGTTAGTAGTTCAGTGAGAAAAACTAAATTGTTTTTAAAGGTTAGAATAGAGTGTTGCCTAAGGGGCAATGAGAGAAGAAGGCTGAGGGCACTCACGGGAGGAGGTCTGAATGATTTTACCATGCTGTTGACAGACAGAAAACAAGGTACAAATGAAGAGAAATAGCAACTATGAGAATCAGACAAAGAAGGTGCCACTATCATCTTGTTCCTGTGAAAGAAATTCGCCTTCATTCTGAGTAAGCTGAAAACATCGTGGCTGTCACCATTAAGCCCAGCTCAGTGTGTCTATTGAGAAAGACTTGTGGATGGTCACTTCATAGAAAATTCTACAATGCAATTGTAGACTATGTGGTATGAGTATTTTGATGAATTTGTGGAGAAATTTTCTGTCAGATATTTCAAGACGTGGTGAACATGTCTGTTGAAGCACCAGGTTGAATATGAAGACTGCAGTCATCTCTGTAGATAACAGATGGAATAATGGAGAAGAAAACAGAATAGAAATTCAAACATGTGGATAAACCAAAGAAGTTTAGGGAACTCTCAATGGGAGATGGACCAAGTAACTATCTAATAAAGAATGTACACAAAAGGAAGAGCAGGAAATTCAGGAAACAGAGTAATGAGAATACAGGTAGATAAAACAAACAAATACAAAATCTCTCTCTCTCTCTCTCTCTCTCTCTCTCTCTCTCTCTCTCTGTGTGTGTGTGTGTGTGTGTGTGTGTGTGTGTGTGTGTGTGTATAAACTGAAATATCAGTATATGGTCAAAAAGGTTAATGGATGTAATCCCAAGTAAAACAAAATGTAGATCACATGAACAAGATTCAAGAGGAAGAAAAACATATTTGCTACTGTGACTCCTTTCCATCTGTGACAACCTTTTAAAGATTTATTTTTAATTTTTAAATTGTATGTGTTTGTGTAAGTCAGCGCCAGCAGAGGACAGAAGAGGGTATCGAATGCCCTAGAGCTATAGCTATGGGATGTTCTTAGCTGTCTTTTGAGAACTAAATTCAGGTCCTCTGAAACCATAGAATATGCTCTTAACCACTGATGAGAATTTCAATATTTATAAAGAGATTTGTGCTCCTTAAGATTCTACCATTTCTGGTTATCAGAGAAATGCAAATCAAAACAACTCTGAGATTCCATCTTACACCTGTAAGAATGGCCAAGATCAAAAACACTGATGACAACTTATGCTGGAGAGGTTATGGGATAAAGGGAACACTCCTGCACTGCTGGTGGAAATGAAGCTGATACAGCACCTTTGGATGTCACTATCATGATTTCTCAGAAAATTAGAAAACAGCCTTCCACAAGACCCAGAAATACCAATTTTGGGTATATATCCAAAGGATGCTCAATCATACCACAAGGACATGTGCTTCTCTCTCCTCTCTCTCTCTCTCTCTCTCTCTCTCTCTCACACACACACACACACACACACACACACACACACACATATTGTTTGTCATGCCAGAACCTGGAAACAACCTAAATGCCCCTCATCTGAAGAATGGAAAATGAAAATGTGGTACATTTACACAGTGGAGTACTACACAGCAGAAAAAAATTACATGTTCAATTTTACAGACAAATGGATGGAGTTAGAAAACATCATTTTGAGTGAGATGACCCACACCCAGAAAGACAATTTTCACATGTATTCACTCATAAGTGGTTTTCAGACATAACGCAAGCATTGAAAACCAGCCCATAAATCACAGTCCCAGAGAACCTAGACAGCAATGAGGACCCTAAGAGAGGCATGCATAGATCTAATCTACATGGGAACTGGAAAATGACAAGATCTCCTGAGTAAATTGGGAGCATGGGGACCATGGAAGAAGGTTAAAAAGGAGGGGAGAAGAAGGGAGAAGAAGGACAGAAAAATATTTTTAGCTCAATAAAATCAATAAAATTTTTTTAAAAGATTCTATCATTTCTGACCAGTATATAGTTAAGAGAACAAAAAATAAATGTTTTTCATTCCCTTCTTTTCATTGGTCATCTTCTCATTCCAATTGTCAGTTCTATAAATATAAAATACATATTACAAGCATATGTGTAATATATAGATCTTACAGAACCAGTGATTTAAATATTTAGTATATGATAATATATTTGAAAAATCTCACCTTCCTTATCTTCGAATTGCCTTATAATTTCATACTTGTAGAAAGGAATAGCAAATACAACTGATGTAATTCCTAATAAAAAGGCAGAAGCTGCCATCCATCTTGACCTGTTCCCTCTGCCTCCGTAGTATGCTACAAATATTGCTACCATGAAAGATACATAATAATCAGTGTAATTCATTAAGTATTTCTCTGGATCTGTCAGAGAAAATTCCTCCTCCAATATTTTATAACTCTGATCAACATGGGCAAATATAAATCCTAAAAATTCAAAAGGAAGACAAAAGACAATATAAAAATTTTAATATATATTATTATACATATATTTATATATATTATAACCATTCAAATAAAGCATTACACTGATTTGATTTATTTTATAATACTGTGAATGAGTACAACTTACACACAAAAATTAATTCATTCCCTCAATTAAATATTTACTTGAATAATAGAAGCTACTTTAACTACCTCTATTAGTATCTTATAAAGATAAACTACGGTCTATCATGTCATCCCTCTTTTTAAATGCACTATGTATCAGTTATGTAGAATAAATAAATAATATAAGGGATGTTTACATATTTTCTATATTAAAACTATAAAGACATTTGGAACCCAGCTTAGAATTTTTTTTTCTTTTTTGATGGGGTGGGAGATGTTTTGAGACAGGGTTTCTCTGTAGCTTTGGAGAGGATTCTGTACTTGAGGTTTAACATTTCTGAGCATTTCAATCTTTCAAAACATGAATACGTTCAATGTAAATTGTTTTATGTTCTTGTGTATTAAATAGATGGCAGCATTATTTCTTTAAAATCACCATCCAGCATGTAAAGAATAATAAAAAAAATCATACTAAGTGAATCAAAAATAACTTGATACAGGGAATAGCTAGCTAGAAAAAGTATAATATTTCTTGGAGTGAAAACAGAAATAGTTACAAATTAGAACTCAAGACTATATCTGAAAAGGGGTTAGATCAAAATTCACTGGGCAGTATCCATAGCTGCTGTTGTCTATCTCAAACGCTCCTTGGTTTGCAGGGATCCAGGAGTCCAGACTCTTCCTAAAGTTCTAGAGCTCTGAGAAGCCACTCATCTCCTGCTGGTCTGCTGCCCAAACAGTAGTCAAGGCTAGACCCAAAGTACACAGGGCTGCTGAAACATTTATGCTGCTGATCGAATGTCTATTCCCGACTTTAACTCCAAGAACTTCAATTACTCTGTATTGGTCCTGCTGCCAAAATCACCAGAAAACCATAGAAGATTCTGGCTATACTTTTGGTATGCTTCCTGCTGGAGCCTCTCACTATTAACAGTGTAAAGGTGGAAGGTTGTGGGCAAATGCAGTTTCCAAGGTAACAGAACATTTGCAAATAAAAGTAAGTTCAGAAGTTGAGTGATGGAACTTGAGAACTATGGGCAAAAGCAATGAGACTTTTTATAGTAACAAAATTTATGAAGAAAAAGTTTATGACTAAAATTATACAAGGAGGAGGAAGACGAACAGGAAGAAGACAAAATGTGGATAAGAACACTCTTTACTTTTCTTCCCTGACAGTTCTAAGATGAAGAAACAAAATCCAGACCAAAAGATGCTTTGTCAGAGTGTTTCAAAATTGTGAGCAGAAACCACCTCAGAGTAGCAATGCTGTTTTCAACTTTAATCTCCAAGAAATTGAACCCAGAACTCATGTTGGTCATCAAATGACATGAATCAACAATACTACCTTCCCATCAGCTCTGTATCTGGAGACCAGAAGCTGGTACTCACTGTGGAGTGCACCAAGCCAAGCAGGTTACCAAGGACTAGAGCAAGAGCAGAAATTTGGGTTAACTGATTTTGATTCCATTCATGCTCAGCATCGACCCTTTCCTTCTCACAGTATGTTGGCCACGTCTACTTTCAACAAAGCAACTCTACTCCTCCAACTTACCATCAGCTACGACCACCACAAAGAACAAAAACAGGAAGAAGTCAATATTGTTGAAACGTTGAAAAACAGGGAAAACTAGCGGACCTATGCCGAATGGCCCCTCCAGGGGACCACTGTATTGTGGACCTGATATCTCTGGGGGACTTGACGAATCAGGCGTTTTCTCTGCTGGGAGCTTTTTAAACACTGTCATGGACCTTGGAACTGTTGTCAGAAAGGGAGTTAATCTATTGGATTTCTCAATCTTTTTGTTGTCCTTGCCATCCCCCTCTTGCGCCTGAGCCACCTCCATGATATCTTGCTTTTTCCCGGGGGCCTGTGTCATAGCTTATCTGTGACAGATCCGAGGAGACTGCTTCCAGGCCCCTGTGCACTCTGTAGACTCCAGTGACTAAAGCTGTGGCTGCCACTCTTAACCTCTGCAGGGAACGTTACTGCCGGTGCAGGAAGCTAACGTCCCCAATGAAGGGTTGACTGACGTGGCCAAAATTCCAAGATAGTATTCTGCCTTCTCTATGTCACAGAAAAGGAAAGAAGAAGAGGACAGGGAAGGAAAGAAAAAAGGGGGAGAGGAAAGGAGTCCTTTACATCACGTATCTTGATCCCATTCATTCCCGTTTCTTCATGTCCACCTTATGCTCCTGCACTCCCCGAACTCCATAAAAAAATAAATAAATAAATAAATAAAAATAAATTCAAGAGAAAAAGGAAGTAAATAAATTGGAAAAATTTAAAGGAAAAAAATTAAAAATCTTGTCATGGAAGCCGCAGTGCGACCCAGCAAGTCAAGCCGTGTACACCTTTACATCTCTACTTGCAAAGCATCCTTTGCAAAGAGTAATTATCCCCTTTCCCATCAGGCAGACCAACAATATAGCCCCGCCCAGGCCCAGACCCAGGGTTATGACTTGACATGCGCCAACATCCACCCCATCTTTGATCTGCTGGAGCACGTGAAGGGACCCAACCCACAGACCCAATGCTGCAGGATCTCTACTACACAGCGTGGCGAAGGTACAGGAAGTCCTAGAGGGGGCCGGCATCTATTGTGTCATGGAGACCTGGGGCCTCGAAGCACACCAAAGACTCCTTACAGTACAAACAGTTTTGAAGATTTTGTTTTTTTTTTAAATTTATTTATTTATTAAAGATTTCTGCCTCCTCCCCGCCATTTTAAAAGAAACAAGGAAAAATAAATATTTAAGTATATGACAGGGAAACAAACCTTTAGTATCTCGAGAATTGCTTTTTTTTTGTGGTCTTTCTACAAATTGATAATCCCACTTGATAAATTTGTGAAGCGTGGTCCGGGTTCAAGCCGCTCCGCCACCCTCTCCGTCGCCTCGGCAGCTGCCCTCGCTCTCCATGCTCTGCGCCCACATCCAACTAGCCACCATTACTGACCAGCAGCAGTTGAGAGTGTTGCCACAGGCCCAGGAGTCTCAGAAGGACCCACATCCTGGTGAGCAAGGCTGCAAGGAGAATCTTCCCGGACCCAGCCAAACCGGAAAGTAAAGAATCTACTAAGCCCAGCGTTGAGGATGAGCCCTTACTGAGAGAAAATCTCCGCCGCTTCGTTGTCTTTCCCATTGAATACCATGATATCTGGCAGATGTACAAGAAAGCCGAGGCCTCCTTCTGGACGGCTGACGAGGTGGACCTTTCCAAGGACATTCAACACTGGGAAGTGCTGAAACCTGACGAGAGACATTTGCGTCAATATTCTGGCTCAAGAAACAGGGACAGATGCCTGGCCTTACATTTTCCAACGAACTTATTAGCAGAGATGAGCGTTTACACTGTGGCTTTGCCTGCCTGATGTTCAGGCACCTGGTAAGCAAGCCGCCGGAGCAAAGAGTACAAGAAATCATTATCAACGCAGTGAGGGTAGAGCAGGAGTTTCTCACAGAGGCCCTGCCTGTGAAGCTCATCGGGATGAACTGCACCCTCATGAAGCGGTACATCGAATTCGTGGCGGACACGCTTATGCTGGAGCTGGGGTTCAGCACGATTTCCAAAGTAGAAAATCCGTTTGACTTCACGGAAAATACTTCACTAGAAGGGAAGACAAACTTCCTTGAGAAGCGAGTGGGCGAGTATCAGAGGATGGGGGTGATGTCAAATTCAGCAGAGAATTCTTTTACCTTGGATGCTGACTTCTGAGTAAACTGCCTGCTCTTTGCTAATCATTGTTCTCCCCTTGTCATAAAAAATCAACAAAAGGAATCAACTGGCTACACCATGAATTGTCATTGAATTTATTAACTGGTATCTAAAAACTGGGTAGCTACCTCAAAAAAATTGTGAAGCATTATGATAGATAGATAGATAGATAGATAGATAGATAGATAGATAGATGGATAGAAAAAAAGAAATCAAGGTGTATGGTAAGACACATCTGCATCTACTGTGGTGGAAGAGCTGGAAGAACAACCAATAATCAGAATACAAGGAGTCAAGCAAGGGACTTGAAAGAAAGGTCTTACAGTGACAAAAGAGTTGTCCTGAAAAATTCATTCTCCTCCAAAAATAGGAAGCAAGCAAGCAATGTATTCCACTATAAATGAAGTCAGGAAATGCAGAACAGAGCTTTATTCCTGGGAGTAAAAATCTTACCTGCGTGAAGGACCATGGTTTATGGCATTAAATTTGTTTCATATAAAAATGCAATTTCGGATCTCCTTCCTTCCTGGCATGAAGCTGAGTCATGTATATTTCTGAGAGTGACTTTCTAGCACAGTTGGACCTATTTCCACCCTTAAGACATGCATAGACTTGTCTAAATTCATGAAGCTTTGAGCAATTTTGCCACCCAAAATGTCATCATGGTATTCCAGGACAAACAACCAACTGAAGCCTAAGCCAGCAAACCCACATGCATTTGACAGTCAATGTTGCCTTTTTTCTTGTATTAAGAAACTCAAATTGTCATCATAATAAACACACAAATAAGGGTAAATGCCTAGTGTACCATTTTGTTATATGCAGCATAAATATCCTCTCATAATGATTCATCATATTAATAAGCACAAATGAAATGAGATTCTTAGGGATAAGAAGTGTGGAATGGTGAGAATTGCTATTCTTGTTTTCTGATACCAGACTTGCATGGCCTAAAGGCAGAAGAATAAAGATAGCTCTGCAAGCAATGAAAGCTCTGGAAATTTTGTTTCTGATGAGACTATAGAAAGCCAAAGAGAACTCTATCCCAGTCTGTCACTAATAGTTATATAGGCCTGGTAAAAATAATATTTTAATATTGTGGGTTTCCAGCAGAGAGCTGAATTTGTAGTCATCAGGTGAATTCATTACAAAGTATAAGAAGGTATTAAGAAGCAGTACAGAGCATGTGTGTATGTATCATATTGAAAAGGCACACAGAAGGAAAGAACATGGGGACCTCTTCAAAGCCAAGTGGAGACAAGTGCATAATCTGAGAAACCTCAGAAGTCTGAAGAATAACAGATAGATCATCCCAATTTAGCAGAGTTTGTCGGCAAATAAGAAAGTATCCGGTAGTAATAGACTTGCTCTAAGGAAAAACAATGTTCAACTTCCTTCCCGAATGTTATATTGCTGGTCCCTTTGGACATACACAGCAGAATCACTTTGCCTTTTCAAACAAACCAGGGAAACCCCATATCCTCTAGTCCCAGGCAAATGTTCTCATAAGGAGAAAAAGGAGCAGGAAGACTAGGTTATCTATCTGCAGTCTATCTACCAAAGGTTGGATGCCACCATAGGGACTGATATAAGTAAAAAAAAATGCCAAAGAAAGAGAGAAAGGAACTTCATTTTATCCCAAGAAATTCATCAAAACAAGACAAGATCTATCCCTTAGGTCTGGACACTAAGGTCATTCTGAAAGGCATATTAAACCAGGGGAATCAAGTCCAACTTCCATGACTAGGGAAAAATGTGCCATGTGAGCAACACAGACAAGTAATAGCATCGGAGGAACATAACCATCTGTGTGGTGCACACAGTAACAGTATCAAGATTCTCTAGTGCTCCAGGTTTTACCAGCGGCACAAGGAAGTTTACTCCCCATTGGAAGAATTTGAAGTTCGTGGTTCAATGACAATGATTAGTATAGAAAAAAATCCAAATCAAACTCTGCTTGAACACCCATTAACGTATGCAGTATCCAAAGAAGTGCAGCAAGTATCCATGTATAAATAATTCATTCAGTCTTCACCATTCTTCATATTCACTGCCTGAAAATTTCTGTTAACTTACCTGATAAATGTGAAATTTAGGGACTACCATGAGACAAAAGATAGAAAACCCATTTGAATACACAATGAATGCAAGTTTTAAGAAACTAATGAATGTTACAGAACCATGTATGTAAATAAAAATATAACATGATTACAAACTAAACCACAGTTACTTATATAAATGTCAAGATGCCAATTCTTCTTTTCTGTCATCCCTCTCTGCCATCCCATCTAGCCTATTCCCAATCCTTTGTGCTAGCTGCCAATACCTAGAAACAATCTTAATCTGGGCCCCCCTGTATCCCTGGTAGGCATTTTTTGGTTTACATATAGACTTCTGTTATAGCCCATGTCACTATCAATCCTGCAGCAATCTACTTACAGGTGCCCTCATCCCTCTCTACCTCCATTCTTGTTGAATATTAGGGCAGATATAGTTTTCTTTCTTCCTGTGGTCCTTATCAGCCCCTGTTATTTTTTTTCACAGCTAAGAAAAGTTCTTTTCATTTTTATTTGAAAGTGTAAAGACACTTTTCCTGAGTGAAACATTTATAATACTCCATTGATCTTTAGATATAAAACCGTGTTTCTTCCTTAATCATTTTAATAGGCTGACTTGTAGCAATCCATTTTATTTTACTTCGTCTCATACTCTCATGCTAAGAAACACCTTAAAACTATCTATTTATAATATGAACTATGTAACTATGTAAAGTTTCATATACTTTGTTCTGTACATTTAGTGTGCATTTGATCACTATGTTTCATGTAGAATTTCTTTCCTTGTCCTTCCTTTCTATTTGGTTCTTTAACTTTGACAGAATCTCATTCTTCAGGTTGGGGTCTTCTATGCTTTTTTTTCTGGGCCTGATCTAGGTATATTCTCCTTCCTGTGCTCCTATTATTTATAGATTTGATCTTTTCATAGTGTCACAGATTTTCTAAATATTTTGTGCTTGGACTTTTGTGGGTTTAACATTTTCTTTGACTGAAGTACCAATTTCTTGCTCCTCGTCTTCAGCTCCTGTGGTTTTGTCCTATGTCTTGTATTTTGATGGCGAACCTTACCATTGAAGAAATGTTATAGCCAATGGGAGAACACTTATGTTATGCATGATGCAAATTTTCCCCTTAATACCCTGTGTTGGGTAACTCCAGTTAAAATTTTATATGAATATAGATATATAGATAGATAATAGATGGACAGATGATAGTAGAGGATAGATAGATACATGCATAGATGATAGAGACAGAGAAAGAAATAGATGGGCAGATGATAGTAGAGGATAGATAGATACATAGATACATAAATACATACATACATAGATGATAGAGATAGAGAAAGAAATAGACAAATAGATGATGGATGGATAGATAGATAGATAGATAGATAGATGAAGAGATAGATTATAGATGGATGGTTACATAGATAGATACATACATACATAGATACATACGTAGATGATAGTGTTGCAAGGGGAGGGGCCACTTGTTCTGGCCACCTGGCTAGCTTACATCCAAAATAATCACACAGAAACTGTTTTAATTAAAACACTGCTTGGCCATTAAGTCTAGCCTTCTATTGGCTAACTCTCACATCTTGATTTAACCCATTTCTATTAATCTGTGTTCACCACAAGGTCATGGCTTAATGGGAAAAGTTTAGAAAGTCTGACCTGCCGTCTTCATGGTGGCTCTCTCACTGCCCTTCTTCCCAGCATTCAGTTCTGTCTTCCTACCTACCTAAGTTTTGCCCTATCACCAGGCCCAAAGCAGTTTCTTTATCAACCAATAAAAGCAACACAAATACAGAAGGACCTCCTACACCATGATAGAGATAGAGAGAAAGATAGACAGATGGATGATAGATGGATAGGTAGATAGATAGATGATAGATAGATAGATAGATAGATGCATACATACATATGTACCTACCTACATACATAGATGATAGATAGGGATAAACAGATGGATGATGGATAGATAGAGATGATAGAGATACATAGAAAGATAGATAGATAGATAGATAGATAGATAGATAGATAGATAGAAATAGATGATAGAAAGATAGATAATAATGATAGATACTAACATGTGATGTAAATATCTTGGAAAAGTTCAATGGAATATTTTATATCCTTGCTGTTATAAATTTTACATGTGTGAAAAACTCCAAATAAAATACTATATTAAGATATCTAATTATATCTATTATTCAATCCATTTTGTTCTAAATTAAACTTTCTATTCACAGTCCTTTGTACAGACCTACAGGTTATGAGTTCTAAAATAACCTTTTTCTCTACTCAGTTCCTTCCCAGACTAATTTTCAGTGTTTTCCCTGGGTCTTCTCAACCCCATGGAGTACTTGCACGAAGTTAAGAGCTGTATTACAAAAAAGAGTGAAAGAAAACGAGAAAAAAAGTGCTCTCAGTCAATACAGGGGAGCCATCTTGATCTTCTTAAAGCCTAATTGGAGGGAAAATGAAAAGTGAATCTGTGGTTGGCTGCTGATTCTGGAATTTAACTACACTAATGCATACACTTTGTCTTTCTAAGTATTTATTCAGTTATTCTAATAAAATCTTGTTATTTGACATTTCTATCTCTTTAATTCATATTGCAAATCCTGTATTGTCTACCTAATTTCATTTTCCTAGGAATGCTATGCCTGCTTGGGTCTGAACCTGGAAAGCCATAGAACACTGGTGGTGGCAGCAACTTGGGATCACAGGTATGTAGGGTTAGCCTCAGCAACAGAGAGTTCAGATGAAGCTTCTATATAGGGTTGGGCCTAGAGGGGAACCACATGGGTGGAGAAAACTGAGTTAGTCAGACTCACCAACAGCTCTCACAGATTGGCTTCTGCCTGGGCCTTGTCTCCGAGGGACATTATGGATGAGCAGCAAAGACAAGAGTCCTGGCTTAGACGGTGCATGAGAG